AGCACCAACGCGCCAATATTAGACATACCCAGCAAGACACGACCGAGTGATACTCCAATGAACCTGGCTCCTGTATTTCATCAGCCTAAGTACGTTAAAATTCATCCTAACTTCAGTGGGTGTCGTGTTCGTTTATGCTTCGTTCCACCATTAGATTATTATAATGAGCTTGCACTGGATCACTATTGTTCAGATATTTACTGAGCGCCATATGATTATATTTTGATATTCTCCCAAACGCGCCACTGGTGATAAGTCGCAGATCGCTCGTCTTACTTTTGGCCTTTGCCTTTTTATTTTTTCTTTTAAGTGTTTTTTTATCGATTTAAGCGTCGCCGACTGTTTTTTCTTTCAAATATATATTTAATTTTATATCTGTTTTTGTTTGCCCACGAGTTTCTCAATTTCTTCTGGCCTGTAGGGTAGCGTTTCGCTTAACTTTAAAGCGACACCGTCCTTGCTGATAACGTAGTCATCCTCAAGTCGAATTCCAATGTCAGAAAAATCCTTATTGACTGGGATATTTTTTGATCTGGGGAAGTAAAGTCCTGGTTCAATGGTAAAAACGACTCCAGTCGTCAGAGGGGATTTGTGGGACACTGTTGGTGCATCGTGTATATCAAGGCCGAGATAATGTCCAACGTGATGTGGGCATACTTCATGTGCAATCTATATAATGGAAATATTAGCTGGGTAAGAAATAATAAGTGCAACAATCGGTATCCGAAAAGTTAAACAATATTTCATCTTGCCTGTTTCGCCTCGTGTCCAAGAATTATTTTTTCTTCTTCCAAGTGGTGTGCAATCCTTTTCATCATCAGTTGGTACAAATAATCAATGCTGGTATCTGGGCTGGCTGCGGCTGCACAAGTGGCCTGTACTTCTATCAAGATTTCATAGAGAATCCGCTGGGCTTGTGTGTAGCCACCTGACAAAAGAGGAATCGTATGCTTACTCTTAAATTGATATTTTAAGTAGCTAAATGTCCATTTGTTGTGGTTCTGGATGCGATTGCTGCATGTATTCATAAAAGCAGGCTAGGCGCCCATTGTTAAGCAATGGACTATGGAAATTAATTTTCATAGC